GGTATGACATGGGAGGCTGGAATGGTAGGCGTGGTATTGATATGGGAGGCGGGAGGCGGGAGGGAGAAGGAGAGGATCTTCTGGGAAAACAAGAACCCCACTCAGGATGTAGGGAAAAACGGAGGTCCGGGCGGATTTCTCGGATCGGCGCTGGGGCCCCCTGGCGGCGCCTGCGGCGCCGCCCCTGGCGCGCTCCGCGCGCCAGGGAGGGGGGTCAGCGCGGATCCAAGAAATCCGCGCGTACCTCCGAGTTGTTATGTTTACGTCAGTTTTCGTTCCCCTGGGCTATGTTGGAACTGTTGGATATGAGCAGGAGCAGGAAGGACGGTGGGGAGGTGGAAAGGGCGGAGACAAGATAAAGCATTGGAACACCCACTCCTGGAGGCAGAGGAGGCCTACAGGGAAGGAGGCAAAAGGAAGACGGGGTGGAGGGGAGAGGAGAAGGAATGAGAGAAGGAGGGTGACGCATGGCCAGGTCGCGTTGAGTCACGCGCCAGGACGAATGTGTTCCGTTGTTTCTAACGGGTCGACGTTGGGAATGCGATCAGACGCCCATTTCGGGCCTCGGGAGTTCCATTGAGGGGCCCTCATCCGTCATGAAACCATTACTGTTTCACTTGCATATTCCAGCGACGGGGAGGTGATTAGCCTGTGCTGTACGAAATTGGCAATCGCCACGCTCTTCCCACTCGGTAATGATCCATGTGCGCATGCCATCTGACTCTATTTCGGCGGATGTGTTTGTTTTTTCTGAGTCGGCTCGTACCGAGTTCTTCCATTTGGCATGTTCGAAAAAATTGCCTTGTGAAGAAAAGTGTTGCCTGTCGACTGTGGCTGGTTTGATTCCTCGCGACTTGGGCGCCACCTTCTCACGTATATTCAATGCTAAGCTAGAATAGATCATACCATGGTATGCGTGCTGTGCTATCAATGTGTCATGCTGCGCTAGTGGCATGGTGTGCTGTGCGATGGTCGGCTATGAAGGGCTGTGCCCTGATGGGCGTTGGTCTGATAGTGCTACGATAATGTGATGAGAACATGCTATTGGCGTGCCATGCTATGGTGAGACGTGCTAGGCTAAGCTGGACTATGCGAGCTTATTGCGTCACGCTGGTATGCAGTGCCATTAGATGATGTGCAGCTGGGCGCTATGCCATGCGGGTCTATACAATGCAAAGCTGTCGTACAGTGTGCGACCATACATTGTACATGTACATCCGGACTTGTGATATACAACGTTGTGAGATACTCTGTCAAAGGGCGCCATGTTCCTGGTTGGTGTGCTGTGCATTAATGTTATACAACGCTGCCGTGCCATGATGTACCAGACGGGAGTGTGCTACACATTGATATGGTTCGTTGCGTTATCCATAGCACATCGTGCGGCACACCATTACGTTTATGTACGTATCATGTATGCTTCTGAAACACCGATGACATTTCATGTGAGCAGCTGCGGGTTCAGTTCGTAGAGCCACCGCACTGGTTCGACACCATTGCGGGTTCCGCTTCACGTTGATGCGTTCGTTGGCGGGTTGGCGATCAAGTGGTAGAGCTTGCACAGCTCATAGATGTGGCAAGCAGACTGCGTAGATAGTTGAACACTTAGTTGTCACCCTCGCAGTGCGATAGCAAGTGAAGTAGGTTCGCTTCATTGGCTGCCTGGACATCGTGGTCACTCGCCGTATGGCTACCTTTCGCTAGCTCGTGCATGTCGTAGGGCTGGCGAAAGTATGATGCCCGTATCCCCTGAAATGACGGAGGCCAAAGATTATGTAGAAGTGTTCAGTGTTGGTCGAAGGCGGCCCAAGTCAATAGAACGGTGTACCACGCACATCCGCCACGCACATCCGCCTGTCATTCTCAGCGTGAGTTGTTCTTGCCGCTATTTCGGCCTCGTCCGCTGGTCTTGCTCTCAACGCTGCCCTGCGCCTGGCTCTCCGCCTTGGCAGTGACTGCAATCGCGGGGCCGCCGAGGCAAGCCCGGAGGCGAATGTGGACAGCTTGAAGGAGCTTGTGGTCTTTGGGGGTCATGTCGCACGGGTAGGCCAGGGGACCTTCATTGAACCCAATGTTGCCAAGCGTGACACACTCTCATCTGATTCAACCCAGGCCAGTGCCACCGAATATTGTCTGCCTCAGTTCGGCTTGTTCGTCAGCTGCGTCGTGTTGCTCAGCGGGCTCGCCCTACGCCGAATGGATGTTTGCCGCTGGAGCGTTGTTCTGTCCCGTCCAGGCCTGCTAAGCCTTCAGTCGGGACGGACACATACCAGTTTGTTTACTACTAGCGTCGCATACACCATCCGAGTTATTCAACTGACGGTCGTATTCAGATTCAGGACATCCCTGGTCATTTAAAGTGCGATCTCTTTGCGATGGATGCTCTCGTGGGCCAAGGCGCGAAGCACGACCTGAACCTGCATCGTGAATCATGAACCGTTCACATAGGAGGTCGAGGCCTTGAAGCCTGCCACTGCGATCTGGCGGCGAGAGAGGGGGGGGGAAGTGAGAAGGAGAAGATCCTCTCCGACGGCGACGGGACTTCTCGGAAGCCCTCGCGCCTTCTGAGAAGTGTTCTGGGTCTTCGGGGAAGGCCCAGAGCGATTTCTCAGAATGCTGGGGGGGGGCCTCCGAGCCATCTGAGAAGGCCCGCCCCTTCTCAGTTTCCCCCCCTCGCTCGCCGCCACAGTCTTGGCCCCTCTCGGGAGCTTCGGACCCCCCCTCGCCGGCGGGAGGGCGTGCCCGCCGCCGACGAAGAGGAACAGGTGCCACATTCCTTCTGTTTCGTGAGAGAGCGCACAGTTCCATAACAATTGCCTAGTTCTTTTCTCAGCGCCCAAGACTGCCCAATAGTCCCACGAGAAAGACCCAAGAGGCACCCCGAACCACCCAAGACGGACCCCAAAGCGCCCTAAGACAAGACGGACCCCAACGCGCCCTAAGAGGGCCCCATATGGGGGAGAGTTCGAAGCCACACCTCGAGGCCTCCGCCCCACGAGGACCCCGAAGACCGCCAAGGGTTTCCAAGGACTCCCCGGGAGGTCCAAAAGAGGCCCCGAAAGGCACCCCAGGAGGCTCTAAAACTGCCTCCGAGCGGCTGCCCAGAAGCTTTCCCAGAGACCCTGAAAGATGTCCAAGAGGTCTCAAACCAACAACCCAGGCACGGGGGCGGGATGGGCAGAATGCCATGAATTGGGAGGTGCACACGTGGACGAGGGAAACCGTGGCCCCTCCTCTCTGTTCTCCTCCTGCTCTTCGTCTTCCACTTCTCCTTCTGCTCCTGTCCCTCCTTGTCTGGCCCTGTTGTGCCCCTGGAGCCTCTCCTGGGCGTCCCTAGAGCCTCCCAGAGATTTCCCCGAAACCCCGGGACCCATCTCACCGCTCACATTTGAGCCTCTCTTTGTCTGTTTCCAGATCTACTCTCCTATCCGCCGCCGTGCCTCTGGGCACGGAGTGGGCGTGTCCTCGGGTCCTTTCCCTCATCCTCTGAGCCTCAGACCCCGAATGCTTGAGGAGTTTCTTCGGGGCCCAGACCCCACGTTCCTAAGTCCGAGCTTACCAAGAGTGCAAAAAGAGACAAATATAATTGACTTTCTAAAAGTATTTTGAAGGAAGTTGGCGTTCTCGTCTTTTTTGTTTTCCAACGCTCCAAGACGGCCCAAGAGGCCGCCATGACCACCCCAAGACGGCCGAAGAGGCTTCCAAGAGGGCCCCAAGACGGCCTAAGAGCGCCAAAAGACGGCCCAAGAGGCGCCCAAGACGGCCCAAGAGGGCCCCAAAATGGCCCCCAAAGGGGCCCAAGAGTGGAACCACGAACCGAGAATTCGGGCCTTCCGCCCCACGAGGCGCCCAAGAGGCCCCAAGAGGCCCCCGAGAAACCCCAAGAGGCCCCTAAGAGGCCCAAAGGAGGCCCTCAAACGGTCCCTGAGAGGCTTCCAAGAGGCCCCTGAGAGGCCTCCCACGAGATCCCAACGAACATTCAATTAGTTTCATATGGGAGGTTCTCGTTTGTTGCCGTCATTGCTGCCGTCATTCAGGTTTTGTTGTGGAGTGTTCCCGGGTTCCCCGGCCGGTGCCCGGGGGCATTGTTGTGGTAAGAACGTGTTCGGCCCCAGGGTCTCGCGCGTAGAGACGTTCTCAAAATGCTAAGGTGGTTTGGCACGTTTCTCTTGAGACATCCTCACAAGATTGTGTTCCGAGCCGACCTGATCTGAGATGGTTCGACCCGTTTCGCTTGAGACATCTTTGCGTCTTTGGGTTCCCGGACGTTGCGCCAGAGGTGCTCTGGCCCATTTCTCCTGAAACATCCTCGCATTTCTGGGCTCGGAGATGCCGTGACCTGAGGCCCTCCGATTACTTCGCCCGAGACATCCTCGCATCTCTGAGCTCGAAGACGCCGCACACAAGCGATGCGATGCCGCGCACGAGGCGATCCGGCCACTTTCGGTTGCGACGATCCCGCAACTCTGGGCACAGGGATGTCGCGTGCGAGGAGGTCCGTCCGCCACGTTCGCCTGAGGCTGTAAGAAGAAGAGGAGGAGGAGGAGGAGGAGGGAGAGGAGGAGGAGGAGGAGGAGGAGGAGGAGGAGGAGGGAGAGGAGGAGGGAGAGGAGGAGGAGCAGGAGGAGGAGGAGGAAGAGGCGGAGGAGGAGGAGGATGGCAGGAGAGTGCTCGCATTACCGTCGGACAAGTCTATGTGCCTTCGTTGCTCTCGGGACGCTCCTCGTCGCCAGGGCTGGACGCGGCTCGGAGGGCTTCGGGGCGACCCCAGGTGCCAAGGTCGCCCGGTGGGCCGGGATCACTATTCTTCGGAGGCGACAACCCCTACGGCGGTGTCGGGGAGGTGCCGGGGAGGGGTTGCCCCCAGAAGAGATCGGTGAACCCGATGGCCTACAGTCGAGGTTGATTAGTGCGTCGACCCTGCCAAATCAAGGGTACCCTTGTGTCCTGTGCCTCGCGGCCCATGCTTCTACGTTCATATGGCAATGTGGCCCTCGGAAGAGTCTTGTGTCCTCTGGCGGGGCCGCACTGCGAGGCAAGTGCGTCAAGATGTTGTTGAAAGGTCGCATGCGGAGCCACTTCCCGGACCAGGGGCACGCGGTAAGCCCCAGTAGATTTCGGAATGTGGGGTCAGGGCCCCTCAGGGCAGGACTCCTCAGGACAGGACTGAGGCTCCAAGGGTTAGGCAAAGGACCTGAGGACACCACGATGATGGAGACGATGACAACGATGATGGTGGTAATGTTGATTATGGTGATGCTATTGCTGATGTTGATGATGACGATGACGACGATGACGACGATGACGATGACGATGACGTCGTCATCGTCACGATGACGATGGCGATGGCGATGGTGATGACGATGACGATGGCGATGATGATGGTGTTGTTGTTGATGATGATGACGATGATGATGACGGTGGTGGTGGTGGTCGTGATGATGATTGTGATGATGATGGTGGCGGTGGTGATAATGATGATGGTGATGATGGTGATGGTGATGGTGATGGTGGTGGTGGTGGTGATGGTGGTGGTGATGGTGATGGTGGTGGTGGGGATGATGGTGATGGTGGTGGTGGGGATGATGGTGATGATGGTGACGGTGACGGTGATGGTGGTGGTGATTATGATGACGATGTTGATGATGATGATCATGCTGCTGATGATGATGATTATTGCGAGGTTTGTGCTGAATCTGCGGATGATGGTGATGAGGATGATCAAGATGTGCTGAATGGCATCGGTGACGATGATGGTGACGATCATGATTTTGACAGTGATGATGAGTATGACTCCTTCTGCCTTTCGCTCCGGCGGCCGCACCCGCTTGTGGAAACACCCCCCAGCATGCGCTAGAGCTTGACTGCGCGCGAAGCGCGCTCGATGGTTCTAGTATAAGATTTATGTGTATATATATATATATTTATATACATGTGCATAGATATTCGAGCATAATCGTTTCTGAAGCTGTCTGGGTACCCGAAGCTGCGCTCGCGAAGCGCGCGCGGCCGGTCCCAGTCTTGCCGACCAACGAAGCGTGGGGCCGACGAGAGAGCGGTCGGAGACGACGGGCGAGCTGTACAGTCGGGGCCCTGAAGAAGGAACCCTTTTCGTTGGGGAGGGGCTCCGTGTTCCTTCATTGTTTCGCAGTTTGCCTTGGATTCCCCTTAGGCTTTCGATACGAAATCGAAGTTCAACTTCTGGAGAACAGGGGCCTCGTTCCTTATCTAGGGTTCCTTAGGTCAGCGCCTCGACTGTAATCGATGAAGAGAAGATCATCGCAAACATAAGCTGTTGGCGCTCCGCGCGAATTGCTCGGATCCGCGCTGGGCCCCCCCCCCCCGGCGGCACCTCCGACGCCGCCCCCCCGCGCGCTCCGCGAGCCAGGGAGGGGGGCCCAGCGCAGGTCCAAGAACTTCGCGCGGAGCGCAAACGGTTCAATGTTTGTGGCGATCTTGTTTTTTTTCATCGGAGCGTGAATTACCTACCCCGCTTTCGCTTCCAGGAAAAACCAGGCCATACCACGCGCCTCCTCGTCGAGCGACCTGTCCAGTGCAGGCCGTAGGTTGGCATCGCTTGGTATCTCTTGGAAGCGAGGGTGGTCAGAAGCGAGGTAGGTTTGGTTTCCCCTTATTTTAGTCGATGTAACCTGCGGAGGACCAGCTGCATTTCGTGGCAACGCCGTGCGATGCAGCATGACATGACATGTGGAGCGCTTTAGAGGAAGGAATCGTGACACAGTGGCCATTTCGAGCCTCGCGTAGTGCACACGCATGTGTTGTTAGCGCTTCTTCCACACCTGTCATCAGGGGCAACGACAAGGGGGGATAGACATAGGAGAGGATGCATCGACCCCCAATCGCCCATAGATCGCCAATAGGGGCCCGATAGCCCCAGCCTGCCCAGGAAGGTGTGGATTCATTATCGGAAGCCTATCACCGATCTATCGGCGATGTATCGCCAATTCCAGATCGATGCATCCCCCCCTTTGCCAGTCCCCCCTATCGTTGCCCCTCATGTCAGCGCATTGCCAGCCAGTCTTTCCCGTGTGAGGGACTGCGTGTCCCATGCGCCTGCCCTCTGCGAGGACCGCCCTTCGGGGCTGCAGTGCGGGCCTGTCTTCTGTCTATGTTCAGGAGAGAACAAAAACACACAGACACAATTAATCGTCGATTCCTCTGAAAATCTGGGAAAACATGGGAAGTTGGGGGAAGACAAAAAGCCCAGAAAAGCTGGAGAAAAATGGGGAACCCTCTTATTTGTGTCCATTTGTGTATCCCAGGGCCCCTTTATGTGCAGCCTGCAGAGGACCGGCTCGCCGCCGAGCTGGCGGTGCCGGCGGCCGAGCAGCGGCTGACCTTTGGCGGCCAGGCGCTCGAGGGCTGCACGCCGCTGGGCGCCTGCGGGCTCCAGGACCGGGCCCGCGCCTCCCCGACGCGTCCCTCCGCCCCTGCCCGTCCCCCCTCCTCCTCCTCCTCCTCCTCCTCCTCCTCCTCCTC